CGACTGGCTCTTGCCAGTGAAACTAGCGCCTCGCTGGGAACAGCTGATAGTCTTTTTGGCCCCTACACCCTACTGCTGATGGAACCGAATGTGATGAAGGGCAAGCTCCTGGCTAAATTCCATCTTATCAACTACATTCCTATTTCTCGTCTTAGTGCAGTACGTCAATTGTAGGATGAATAAAGTTCTGTTATAGGGTACTCTCGTTCTAACTCTTGCATCCATATTTGTTCGTCCTCTCCATCTCGTGTGCTTGCTACGGTCCTAGCTACAACAAAGTCTACAAATACTTGTGCCCTCAACTCCTCGCTATGTAGAAGGCGGACAAGCTGCCCATCTTCGAAGATTTCAGCGCGCGAATTGGCACAGAGTATCGCCTAAAAGGTGCCGGTCATAATGCGGTGGACAATAACAACACTCAATCCCTCTAAAATATCTGAGTCAAACACGACAAATTAGCAATAAACACTTTCCGCCTCCTTAACGGCAATAACAAAGCATGGATCCACCCACACCCAGGTTGCCGTCAATTACTAGACTACCGATACATACCGCTGACAAAGGCAATGTAGAGCCAAATGTTGGGCTATCCACCACCGACTTAACTACAAGATGAAACTCTGAATCAAACAACGGAAACGTAACGCCCGCCGGGCCTATATACTGGGATTACTGACCAGTCTGTTTTAAATGATTTGGAGCCAACGATACGTTATTCGATCCTTAAACTACGTCATCGGTATTCAGCTAAAAAAAAAGCTGAAAGTAAAAAGGCAATGTTTGCTTAATTTCTCTTCTCTCCATTGCTGAATAATTATTCGCGCGCGTCATCGTTATTCAGTAAATTAACCGGCAGCATGGAGATAATATTTGATCAATTCCTCTACTCCACACTGCTAGAAAATTATTCGCACGTGCACCACCTAGCCGCTTGAACTAACATCTAGCACAAGGACTTCCGTGCGGAGTTCATTAACTAAATGGGAGCACTATTGGGATCTTTGCAGCGTGACAACTATTGACGAACTATCAAACAATCATGACTGACCCCTTCACGTCCGTCAGTAGGTTAAAGGACTTCAACATGGTGAACCGAAATAGACTCCAAAGAAACATAAACTTCGGGTACCCGGAAAAGTCCACGTGCGTGAAGAATCAATTCTCCGATGATATCTAGGTGCACCATTCGGGTAGCAAGTCGATCCCATGTGCCCTTGCGAATAACAGAGTGCGCCTGTTTTGCGTAGTTACTCCAACATGCTAAGAGACGCTCACGGAGACAAGTACTGCAGAACCAACAGTTGGTAGCAGATCGCATGCATAACTGGATGAAAGTCACCAAGGACAATACGCATAGTCTGTTCGCCGATGGCTGCGCATTTGCCCGAATCAGGCATGTGACGCGGTTTGGACCTGTTTTCGGATAAGCAAAGTTCCGACTGGCCACTAGCATCACCCCAGAAGCACCAACTGCACAAGTTCCTGTACCAGCGGTTAGCGATAAAAGCTCCTGCCCTAGTAGCGTTACAATCGACAGCGAAATCGCAGCCTGGGTTTCCAGAGCTGTCTATGCCTCTGGCAAGCTAGAATCCTCAGTGTGGAATCGCTGTGGTGCCTTCTTCATCAAGAAAAAAACTGACAAGAAGCTGTCAGCACAACCCTACGTGAAAATCTTGCCAGTTTCAAGTGAGAAAAATGAACCATTTACGTCTAAGAAGACTTCAAAGGATCTGAAATGAACGAGGACAGGTCCCACACGCCTGCCCTTCGTCCATGTGGTATTAGGATGAACCCAGA